TGACTGTGTGGTTTGAGTCCTGGACTCTGCAGCTTGAAGAACATGCTAGGTGATGTGCGTGCTTGCCCAAAATCCTTACAGGAGAATGGAGGAGAAGGGATCATGGTATGGCCACCCATCTGGGAGGTGCTTATACACTTCTCTCTCTCTCTCTCTCTTCCTCTCTCTTTCTCTCTCTGCCTGTCTCTTTCTGGCAAGGACATGTGTCTTGTAGCTAAAACTAAAAACAAAGACAAAAACTAGCATCAAGATAATGAGATCTGATTCCAGGAATAGGGACATGGGCATATAGTGTGCACACACATTATGCATATTATACACAGAATTTTTTTCTTATATATTTTAATGTATATTTCACTGTATGTACTCAGAGATATAGATTTCAATTAGCAATTTTTTCATTAGACTTACTTTTAATGTGTAGAACTAGTCAATAAACATGTTTCCAGTAAACATTTGTACTATACTTCCAAGTACTTAAAGAAATTGTTTTAAAGTTTGATACAGTATGGGTATAGTCGCTGAAGAGAGACAGAGAAAGAAAGATAAGGTGAGAAATCACCCCCCAGTAGAGATGGTCCCATCACAGTCCCTTTTCTTTTAGTCTCCTTTCAAGATTTTGGGCACACACACACATGTGTCTGGCATAATTTTCAAGCTGGCCTAGCAAACTCTTTTGTGACTAAACCAAACAACTGAGAGAGATTTCTAACAGTAATCTTTGGGTTTTCAAGTTCTTACAAGAGAAATTTGATAAATTGCGCAGTTCCTTGGAAGGCAGTGTAGCTTAAATATTATACAACAGTATGGATATTTAAGGACATGTTATTTGGTTTCTTCTCTGTTTTCATTATTTTATATTTGAAGCACACTGAGAGGAGAAAAGTATTTGTATTGGGAGCAATCAAAAGTATTTGTACTGAGAGAAAAGAATTTGTTTTGTTTGGGCTTTTACGTGGCCTTCAATTCTTATCCACATGTTCAATTTCTAATGTCATCATAAATTTAGACCCGATCACAGAGAAAACCAGTTGTTATTTGGTGAGAGTCATGTGAAGTGTCACCTAAGCACAAAGGCTATAAATACCTGGTGTACTAAATTGACCCTGGAATTTTAATTACTAAAACGCAATTTATTAGGTTCGTATATGTACATATATTCCCTTGCTCTGTTGGCTGAGCCTAGAAGCAAGAGCACCCAGAAGCAAAAGCATCTTGATTTCTAATAGTTTTCCAATGTGAGAAACTAAAGCTCCCCAGAGAAATGACCGATTCTAAAAGAAAATGACGTAAGAGCATCTTCCATTGTCAGGAAGTATGAAAATGCTAAAAATAATCCCCAAATAATTGGATCTGTCAAAGGAACACAAGCTGAACTGCAAGAACTCCCAATGACCGAAGCTGGAACAATGTAACCAGCAAAATAGAGTAGAATTGGATTACAATCCAAAGTATGAAAGAACTATCTATAAGATGATGCTGGTATAAATAAATAATAGAAATTTTCTGTAATGTTATAACTACTCTACAAAATAAAGTCTATTAAAATAGTGGCTCCAAACCAGAGAAATTAATATATTTATGGAAATAACACTATCTATAGGGAGGACTGACTTAGTGTGAGATTTAACAATCTTACAGAGAATTTTCGTGTATGTTACTTCATTTTTTCCTATGGAGAGCCCTGTGGCATAATTTTTATTGTTGGTAGTATTAATATCATTTTCATTCCTATTTTGTGAGAAAAAAGTAATGCTTAGGAAGATAAAGTGACCTGCCTGGAATCATTCATCCAGTACGTAGCAAGGGCTAGAACTAAGTCTAGGTATTCTGACTCTATATCATAGGCTCTTTTTCATTCTACCATGCTGCCTGCCATGGTCAATCATACAATGAAGAAATGGTATCATATTCTCTAATGCAGTGCTTTCCATTGTAACATCTGATTTAGCATTATAATGTCTAAAATGGAGGCAGGAGAACTATAATTTATGAACTCTGGGAATTTATGAGGTTACATATCAGCAGACTAGCTTGTTGGTGGTGATGGTGGTGATTTGCTGGTTTATTTCATTACAATCTGCTTACATAATGACCAAGAATAGATCATTATCTTTTTCTATTTTTATATCTTTAGATTAAATTGGTGTTGTACTTTGGATGCTATATTTTGATCTAGTCATATCTTCTTATCATTTAAAAAATTTTCTGAAGTGACGGAAGTCCCTTAGAAACCAAATTCATTAATGCTTCATATTTATAGAATTTTTAGACTCTAAAAATCTGCATTTTAGAAATAATTGCTATAGGGTACATGTGCTCGCCAGAAAGAGGGAGAGAGAGAAAAAGAGAGAGAGTAAAGGTGAGAAAGTACCCCCAAGGGGAAGTGACCACACCTCAATTCCTTCTCCTCCATGAATTTTGGGCTTGCATGCACACGTGTCTGCCGTGTTTTTCAAGCTGCCGGGTCTGGGACTTGAATAGTTTAATCAGCTATGGGATCCAGCCACCTTAACCACCATGCCATCTGGCTGGCCCTAAAAATCTGCGTTTTACTGATAAAAAGTAATCTCAGATATCTGATAATTTACTCTGTCTATATATAAATTTACCTAACTGGTAAATGAAGACATCCTTTATTGTTCTTAATCAAATTAGGCTGAAAAAAAATCAGAGAAATTGTTTCCCAGCCAGAACTTCCCAAACATCTAGAATAGGCTATGTTCTAATATGTGATGTAGTGTATATGAGGATAGCTAAGATAATTAGCTACTGAATGTTTTATTGACTCTATTAATGTGAATTGAACCACTATTAGAACAGAGGAAACTTAGGGAAAGGTGAGCTAAACGCAACTGGTGGCGCCAAGAAATTTTCCCTTTTCAGAACAAGAGAAAAAGGTACAATCGAAGGAAAATAACAGGTAGTTTCTAGGCTGTTCAGATCATACTACCCTGATACAGTACTCTGACTGAATGTCCCAAAGATTCTTTAATTGTTAAGAATATTCAGAGAGGAATAATTTATTTGAATTAGAGTAAAGTTGGCTTGAAGAAATTGTCTTCAAAGAAACACAGACTGGGTTGGAGTGAGGGAAACTAAAACTAATCCTAATTGGTGCTTAGAAAATGATGCCTACCGAGCTAACAGGTGGCATGGTAGTTAAGGCACTGGACTCCCACATGGCTGAATTCAGTTCAAGTCCCAGACTTGGCAACATGCCTTCTCACTTCTCTTCTCTCTCTCTCTCATAAGCACATGATCCCTAAAGCAAATTTAAATAATATTAATAATAATAAGATAAATAAATCTTAAAAAGAAAATCAAAGTGATACCTAGAAGCAAGAAAGGTAACAAAGAAAATATTTAAGTATGTGTATTCATCAAGCCATCACATTTGTAAGATTCCACTAATTGTGTTACTATTTAAATTACACCATCGTGTGATGTTGAACATACATGTAGACTGTTTTTATTATTTTAAATTCAGTAGCCATCACGCTAGCCTAAATATTTAAAAACTAAAAGGTGGAAATATGTATAGTTTTTGTTTATTTGCTTTTGTTTGTTTGTTTGAGAGAGAGGAAAGTTTATTGAGAGAAAGAGCACCTGGGAATCTGAAGCCAGAGGTACTTCAGCCCATCTCACCAAAGATATGTGATGTATTTATATGAAAGTAGTGGAGGGATAGGGTCACAAGAATGGTAGGCACTTCGATTAACTTACTCATCACTCTGACCTTATCATCCCATCTATGGATGTGGGTAGCCAGTAAGAGAGAGCCCTGGCAAGGTGGGACATGGGATTATAGGTGATGGTCAGTCTTCTTGAGCTGTTGCAAACTGAGAAGGGGTTTTGTCCTTTAGAGTGATGGAGAGGAGTGTGGGTCCTCTAAAGGCAGGTGTGAATATTGTCCCCTCTGGAGCAGCAAGATGTGGTCAGCCTACTTGGGGGCCAATTGTTAGAGATGGCGTCTCAGGTAAAGTGATTTACTAATTTTTAGGAGTGGAGGTCTTGTACAAACTAAGAGAAGAATTACAGTCGGGGTAACCAGGGGAAGGATGAAAACGGCATTGTTCTTCCAGAAAGAGGCAGAGGTCTCCCTTTTCTGCTGTGAGAAGGTCTAGGCCTCTTTGGCTTTGGAAAATTACCACAGCCAAGGAGTCTATTTGGTCTGGAATCTGTAAGAGACTTAGGGATAGTTCATCTAAGTTTTGTCAGAGGAAACAGTTTTAAAGTAGTGAAGACACGTAGAGGTTTTTTTTGATGGAATTGTTATATTGTGAAGAATGTTATTAGGCTCTCAGGGTTGACATTTTTTTCAAGAAATATTCCTGGTGTATCATGAGTAATACATGGAGAAGACATAACCAAAGTTTTTAGATTATTTTGAATTAGATCTAAGGGTTTCATGCTTAATGACATAATTATGATACCTATGATAATTAAAGAAATAGAGTGCTATTTTGACATTTACATTTGTGCATATAAAAGTATCGGTAGCCCTATAAGTGAACCGGGCATGGTTATGGTTACATTACAGATATCATGATATCTCATTTGAAGGTTAAGCATTAATCGTAGTGAAATATTTAAGATTAGAGAAGATTTTTTTTTTAATTCCCTAGAGGTACATGAGCTAACCAGAGAGTGAGAGAGAGAAAGCACACCCACAATAGGGCATAGTGGTATTGCAATCCTTTCTCTTTCCTTCCTTCTTCCCATCAGAATTCTGGGCACAAACACACACCTGGCATGATTTTCAATGCACTGGATCTTGGATTCAAATTGCCATGTAGAATACAGCTTTCTATGCATACCACTTAACATTTGTACTACATGGCTGGTCAGAAAAAAAAAATTTTACTTTAATCCAGCATATTTCTTTTTAAGGTGATGTACCTAAATTCCCACTGGACAATTGCATACTCACCACAAGAAAACATAAAATCTTTACAAAACGATGTGCTAGACCATTCTCATTCTTACTCTCCTTTCAGATTAGATGCACAGCATCTTGAAGAAATTAATGTCACCATATCTGAGGAGCAATTCCATGCTGTAAACCATGCAGAGCACACGCTCTGTAAAATGGAGAACTATTTGAAAGAGAAACAACTATGTGATGTGCTACTCATTGCTGGACATCTCCGAATCCCAGCCCATCGGTAAGTATCCTTATTCAGTCAGAATGTTTGGGGGGAGGACAGATATGAATGAGAAAGAATCAGTAGTTTAATTATGAATTGGAACATTGGGGAAAACAGATTTTTATTTTCCTATATCAAAAAAATCTGTAGTATAGGTGATCCATTTCTCTGTGTGATTGTTTTAGAAGAGTCAAAGTTTGGAGAGCTTGTGGAAGAAAAAAATAGTATAAACAAACCCTCAAATAGAAGATAAAATTACTTATTTGATAAAAGATAAAATTACTTTTGGGAGCAGCAGTTAGTGTAATGGCTATGTCGCCGGACTCCCACGTAGTCGACCGAAGTTCGAGTCCCAGACCCAGTGGCTTTAACTCACGCTGGGCGAGTGTGCGTGCGTGCCCAAGATCCCGAGAGGAGAATGGAGGAGAGGGATTGCCTCGTGGCCATCCCCTCTGGGGAGTGATTTCTCACTTTCTGTCTCTCTGTCTCTCTCTGTCTTTCTGGCAAATGCACACGTCCTATAGCAAAAACCTCTCAAAAAAAAAAAAAGATAAAATTACTTTTTAACTTCATTTTACTTTACTGAATTGTGAAAGTTTTGTAGTTTTATGCAGAAAACATATTCAACAGTGTTATAAACTTATTGAATGTATTTCATGCTTTTCAATGGAAATGTGGACTGATTTAAGTTCTTATGCAACACTCCTATTTCCAGGTTGGTCCTCAGTGCAGTGTCTGATTATTTTGCTGCAATGTTTACTAATGATTTGATTGAAGCCAAACAAGAAGAGATTAGGATGGAGGGAGTAGATCCAAATGCACTTAATTCCTTGGTGCAGTTTGCTTATACAGGTAAGTACTCTTAACCCAACTTTATATAACATACATTATTATTATTATGTCCACTCTAGAGAAAAGACTGAAGGATAGGCCAGTTAAATAATTTTCCTAAGGTAGTTAGGAGGCTAAGTAAGTAAACAAACTCATGATATGAAAAAGGAAGAGGTAAATAATCAGCTGTAAAATATTTTGACCGTGAGTGCAGAGTTAATTTAATACAAACACACAAGAATATGTCTCTCTGCAATGGTGTGTTCACATCCTCGCTTGTAAAAGAGAAAAAAGAGAGGGATTTTCTACAGTGAAGATATAGTAAGCCTCTTTTTTGGGGAATAATGTCACATTCACTCAAACTATAAAACAAAGGTAACAGAATGTGTTTAAAGATCAGAGAGAATTTTGGTCTTTTTCCCACAATTATTATTTCATCTTTCATGTTTGCTAGTATTTGGGCATATTTATTTGATGATACATTTTTAGGCTCTTCTGAAGATTAAAAGCTGATTTCCTGGCTTTCTCCAACAGTGGTATGTTCAAACACTTTTGTTTGCATTGTCCCAAAATAATTTTTTAAAACTGTGTGCTCCATTTATTTTTTTCCTTAATGAATAAAATTTCATATCTAGTTGTAACTCCCAATGTTTGTGTATGGTAAATAATATCTCTGAAAAAACAATATTGCATTTGCATTTAAAATGTATCCAGTGGAATCTCAGCACTGTATCAATCTGATACCAACAATTTATCAATTAAAAAATACATGCATATAGCTGTTACTCCAAAGTTAAACATATAGTTCTATTTTATAATCTAGCAGATCCATTCCTAGGAATATATTCAAGAGAATTAAAACATGTCCATAGAGGGACCAGCAGTTAGTGTAATGGCAGTGTGGCTGGACTCCCATGTAGCCAACCGTGGTTCGAATCCCGGACCTGGCGGCTTGAACTCACACTGGGCACATGTGCATGCGTGCCCAATATCCCGAGAGGAGAATGGAGGAGAAGGGATTGTGGCATGGCCATCCCCCCTGGAGGGTGATTTCTCACTTTCTGTCTCTCTGTCTCTCTGTCTTTCTGGCGAGAACGCGCATCTTATACCAAAAACCTCTCCAAAAAAAAAAAAAAGAAGTCCATACAAAACTGTGTACATAAATATTAGCAGTACTCATAATAACTAAAAAGTAGAATCAACTCAAATGTTTGTAAACTGAGGAATGGATAAATTAAATGTGGTACGTGCATATAATGGGATATTTATAGGCAATACAAAAGAGAATGAATTACTGATAAAGTTTGCAACATGGATGACCTTTGAAGACATGATGCCAGGTGAAAGAAGCCTGTCACTAAACACCACTTAGAGCGTGATTACATTTATATTAAAGGTCCAAAATAGGAAAATTCATAGAGACAGACAGTAGATTAGTGGTTGCAAGAGTAAGGGAGGAATTGGGAGTGACCGATAACAGGTATGTTTTTTTTGTTTGTTTTTTTTGTTTTGTTTTGTTTGGAGAGGTTTTTGCTATAGGGCATGTGTGCCAGAAAGACAGAGAGACAGAAAACGAGAAATCACCCCCCAGGGGGGATGGTCACGCCGCAATCCCTTCTCCTCCATTCTCCTCTCGGGATCCTGGACACGCATGCACACACACCCAGCGTGAGTTTAAGCCACCGGGTGTGGGACTCAAACCATGGTCGACTACATGGGAGTTCAGCGTCATAGCCATTACACTAACTGCTGGTCCCAGGTATGGGGTTTTTTTAGAGGATGATGAAAATGTTCTAGAATTAGATAATAATAATGATCACACATTTTTGATAAATTAAAAATACCCTGAATACTATATTTCAAAGGTATTAATATATATATGTACTTTTATTTCAGAGTTTTTTCTACAGTTTAGCCCCATAATACAAAATAGTAAATTTCTGATGAGTGGGGAATGTGGCTTTGTATTATGTGAGACAAAGGCACTTGTGAAAGGAATGTTGAGAAAGAACCTGTGTGGTGGCACCTATTTTGGAGGCAGACAATTTTTAAGGAAGAATATATATGGAAGTTGAAGTACTTAAAACTGTTTACATAAAGTGGATCTGTATCTTGTAAAAGTTGTATGTACCTTTAGTGGTAAATAAATTATTCGAAGATCACTGTTCTAATGAAATTACTTCTAAATTCCCCTTTTTCTCACCCTCTTCCTTCACCTCCCATTCTCTCACAAGCTTTTAAACAAAATACTCCCTAAATTCCCTTTATGCTGTAAGAATTCTTCAGACTTCTTTACATCAGAGGGCAGAATAGACTTTTCTTAAATCTTCACAGACTTCTGTTTACTTTTGGTGACTTTTAAGGACTTTGTTTCTCCTGCCTAATACATTTTAATCATTAGAAAAGGATCTTTTTTGTTTCCAGTGAACTTCTTTTTCTAATTAAGCATAGAACAAAATAATCTTGCCATCTGGCTTTTTTATCCTTTTATTCCTTAATGGTATCAAAATATCACCTAAATATTAGCAGATTTTTTTAAGCATTTATGTAACTGAATACACTGTAATATTCAGATGTTTTCCTAGTGTATCTTAAACCTTTATAATTGAAATATTTCTCTTAATGAATATTACTCTTAATAACCAGACCAAATTTCAATGTCAATAGTAGGTGAGTCTTTATATATGGATATAAGAATAATTCATACTTCTCTTGGTCTCATCTCATGAGATATGGGCAAGCTTTCCTTTCCAAATTATGAAAAGAAAGTCTTCTGATCAGACTTCTTTATAACATAGTTTTCAGGTTGAAGTAAGTGTAGATCACTTTGCAGTATATATTACTATTTTTCATATGGTTACGCAATGCTATAGAATCCATATTAAGGTAGTTTAGAAGGAAAATTTGAGATTATGATTTATATGTCATTTGAAACACTATAGCGTGTATAACTTTTCTAAACAATAAAAAGCAGGAAAATGTCTTACAAAAATAACATAATGTTTTAGGACCAGCAGTTAGCGTAATGGCTATGTCGCTGGACTCCCATGTAGTCGACTGCGGTTTGAGTCCTGGAGCAAGTGGCTTAACCTCACTCCAGGCATGTGTGCGTGCGTGCCCAAGATCCCGAGAGGAGAATGGAGGAGAGGGGATTGCGGCGTGGCCATCCCCCCTGGGGGCTGATTTCTCTTTTTCTGTCTCTCTGTCTCTCTGTCTTTATGGCGAGCACATGAGCCCTATAGCAAAAACCTCTCAAAACAAAAAAAAAAAAAAGAAAAATCGTATTGTATGCCATAAAGATGTTCAACAATTAAATGTAAATAAGAAACTAGAAAATGAGATAAAAATGATTATAGATGTTTCTAAACTGTTATTTACATCAAAGCAAATAATCATATAAGCAATCAATGCTGATCTAAAACCGGATATGAAAGTTTGATGTTTTTCTTACCCCAAAAAATAGACATATAAGCTCCATGCTCTTATTTACCAAGATGTTCAGCCTCCCACAATAACAGTTACCAGCATGGCCAATTGTATGAACATCATAAAATACAATGTATCATTTCTTGCATCATAATGTAGACAGTTCTCCAGCTTTATTTTACAAATAATATTTAACAAAAATAGTGTGTATTTAAAGTGTACAACATAATGTTCTCAGGTATGTATACATTATGAAATGATTTATATGAGATTTAAGAGCAGGCCTAAAAGGAGAGAGAAATAAGTTGCTGTTCTTTAAAACGACATACTCACTGTTAATTTGCTACAGTCGTTTTTGACAGTCTGACTCCCTTCAACTCTCTTACTAGCACTTACACATGGACTTCCTTGTATATGTATAAGCCTCAGAGTATATCCCCTCAGAGTATATTCCCAGAGTAGCTGGTCTAGAACGGTAAATGGAAAAATTCAACTAGTTATTTCTTTTATTTGTGTCTTACTTTACGGGCCTATAATTATTTACTTTTTTAAAACATCTAGGTGTCCTGCAATTGAAAGAAGAGACCATTGAAAATTTGCTGGCTGCAGCTTGTCTCCTGCAGTTGACTCAGGTCATTGAAGTCTGCTCCAATTTCCTCATAAAGCAGCTCCATCCTACAAACTGCTTAGGAATTCGATCATTTGGAGATGCACAAGGCTGTATGGAGCTTCTGAATGTGGCACATAAGTACACCATGGTAAAATCATTGCTTCAAGTAACTTCAGTAATAATAAGTTAATGTTGGGATAAAATTAATAGGCAATACAAACGTATATAATTTGTAGATGACTTACACATAATTTATATTAGATAAAAATATTTGTCCAGTTGAGCTGTACTCAAGCAGAATTTTCATTTTTGGAACCTAAATTGCTTAATTAAATCTCAAAATATGAGGAAATGAAAATACTGAAAAATTTTAAGTTGTACAAATAGAGAAAAAATTAAATTGTACAAGTAAAAAATTTTTAATTGTACATATTATATATATGTTAGATAGAATCTACAGTACTTACACTAAGAAAATACCAATTCTCTAATGTTTTTGCACATTTACAACTTTAATTTGTAAAAGTCAATAGACTATGGTTTGTAATGAAAGTTAAGTAACATTCAATATGGAAAAAGCTAACACTGGATTAGTATTGATTAGAAGAGCTTAAAAACTACCAAAATAAATAACTCAGACAGTTTTACTGAATGGATTTCTTTCTTTTATTCTTTCATTTTATCTTGAATATTTTTATTATGATTATTATTTTAATTTGCTATAGGCCGCGTGTGTTCACCATAGAGAGACAGAGAGAGAGAGAGAAAGTGAGAAAGCAAGTCGCCAGATCTGAGACTAAAAATGCAGTCAGCCATGTGGGAATCAAGCACCTTAACCAACACAATCACCTGCTGGCCCCCTGAATGGACTTTTTTTTTTTTTTTTGCCTTAGTGAAAACATGTGCTTTGGTTAAAAACCACTAGTAGTTCAATTCTTTAATTGACTTCAAACTCCTTTCGATTCTATTAGTAACTATAGTAAATTAAATAAACATGCCTATAAATGTAATTACTTAACATTTATATAGGATAAGGTGATTTTTATTCAGTCAGATAACAATTATATGAAGTGTAGACTGTAAAAATGCAAGAAAAACTGGACAGAGAATATTAAATAAAGTCATACTATAAATACTAATAATTAGATGGGGAAAAAATGAACTTATTTAACCTCTGAAGCAGGAAATCACACAGATCTACCTGAAACCCAATCAAAAGATAAATATTTCACTCAAAGAATATTGCCCCAGTTATTTAAGGCCAAAAAAAAGTGCATACAAATGAACAATAGAGAATTGCACGGGAAAATAATAAGTAAAAGTAGCATTGAGGTCAGCAGGTGGCATAGTGGCTCAGGCACTGGACTCCCACATGGCCGATCGCGTTTTGAGTCCTGGACTCAGTGGCTTGAAAATTACACTGGGTATGTGTGTACGTGTTCCCAAAATCCTGAGAGGAGAATGGAGAAGAATAGGTTGCAGCTGGCCATCACCCGTGGGGGGTGGTTTCTCACTTTCTCTCTCTCCACCTCTCTCTCATGAGTGCATGTGCCCTATGACCAAAACCTTAAAAGAAAAAAAAAAAAAGTACCATTATTTAGGGAATAGAGATACATATAAATAGCATACTTTTCCATAATTTTATACAGAACTTTGAATTTCTAAAGGTTGAATTCCCTAAAAATTACTTGTCTTTCTCTCCTTCTTTCCACCCCAGTTCACTGATCAAATTTGAAGTTTCTAACATATTCCTGATGCAATATCATTATCTAGAGAGTCACATTATAATAAATTGGCATTATGAAATACATCACTTAATTATGCCATTTACATTCTTTTGTTCTCAATACAAATGCCATACAATCTAAAGGAACTCCATTTCAAAGGTTATACCTACCACAAAAGGCAAACATGAAAACTTCCTGTTAAATTACTTACATTCTTGAACTGAGTATTAACAGTTTCCTGACTGGTATCTTACTCCTGCAGACAAAATACATTCTGATAAACAGCTTGAATTATTTTTGTTTTTCAAATTGAACTTGTCTTCCTTTTCCTATTATGTGCCTGAAATTGAGTGTTAAAGCAGGATGTGCATAAAAATGCAGTACTGTTGTCTCCTTTAATCTCCCCTCTTTAGTTATTTTAGTATCTATTGTGAATGCATAAACTAGGTAAAGGCTTGCTTTAATAATGCTTTTGCAATACTGTATTGATAGTATAAGAACGCAAATAATTTTAATGGCAAAGAATCATGTTAAAAAATTTAGGGATTCAGTTATAGACATGAATTTGTACCCTGAGTAAGGCAAATTAGCCTCCCAATGTAGATGGGCTTCCTCCAAAAACAGTCACAGACACAACCAGAATAATGTTTGGTGAAACGTCTAGGCATTTCACAACCCAGTCAATTTGGCACATAAAATGAATCATTGCAACCATATAAATAATAGGTTGCATTGACGAAGCATTCAACAAGTGTGCTATATTCAGTGAATTAATTTTACAACAATATAATAGTGGATTGAAAAAAAATGAGTAGTGAACACAGACACAAAAGAAGACTCTTGTGAAGGTAAATAGAAGAAGGTATTCATGTTGAAATTAGAAACAAAATAATTCTAAAATCAAATATTTTAAAATTAGTCTTTGGAGCCAGAAGGTGGTAAAGTAAAAACTGAATGGCTACACAAGGGAAACATCATAGGTTTGCATCCTGGGACATCTCTAATCATATTAAGCATATTGACAGTGATCTGGGCCTATCGCAACAGGGAATAGATCACAGCATGAAGACTCTGTTGGAGGTGCCTGCCTCATTGCCTCTAATTTTCTCTGGATCTTTCTTATGGAAAAAATAAATAATAAACTTTTAGAAATCTGATTTAAAATGAGGCTTTAATGACCAGCAGGTAGTGTGAAGGGTAAGGCGGCTGGGTCCCACATATCCAATTCTGTGATTTGAGTCTCAGACTCGGTGGCTTGAAAATCATTCCAGGCACATATACATGCATGTCCAAAATCCTGGGAAGAGAATGGAAGAGAAAGGATTGTGGCATGGCCATCCCTCCTGAAGGGGTGAGTTCTCACTTCTTTCTCTCACTCTATGTCTTTCGCCAGTAAGGGCATGCACCCCATAGCAAAACTATGAGAAAGGAGATGAGTATTTAAGCTTAACTAATTATTTGTCTATAGTTCTAGATATTATAGTGTCATATATAGATACTTTAAGCCAATACATTTATTATTTATTTAGACTAATTAATTGTCCAGCAGTTTTCAATAGTCTCATTAAGGAGCAACTCTGTATGAGTTGTAACAAATTATATCAGAAAGTCAAGTCTGGCTGTATCAAAATATGTCCACCATACAAAATATCTTTAACCACTCATTAACTCTGAAATGCACAATCAAATATAATAGACTGCACAAATGATCCACATCGATTTTAAGTGAAGTTTTACACACTGAGATAATCTCCCTCCCCGCCTCTTTTTTTTCTTTCATTAAAAAATAGAAAGGAGATTGAAATATGGGGGTTTCCATAATATTAACAGTTTTAGAGTTTATGTAATACTATCAATAAATAACCATAAGTTTTATATTTTTCTTAACCCTTTCACAAAGAGCATATCACTTTTGAAAACAGTGGCGGGGTTGAACAAAATGCAGTAGACGTTATGCCAGACGCTTGTGTTCAAGTCAAGACTTTGCCACTACTGCACAAGAGACCAAACATCATCTTATCAGAGTAACTCCACCTCTTCACAAGATCACATTGGTGATAACTTAATGCTTATAAAAAAATTTAATAAAGTGTGAAATGCTAAAAAGTGTAATATACTGGGTCGTTGGAAAAGTCATGACATATTTTTCGGTTTTTCTATACAAAAATGTGTCATGACTTCTGAAGACCCAATATTAATACTCGTAGTAGTACTATCATTTTTATTTGCTATAAGTGGGAAGATTTTCAACTAGACATCTGCTACAGTAAGAATAGCAGTTCTGTCTCAATCGCTTGATCACGAGAGGGTTCTTTGTCAGGCCAGCAGGTGGTGTGGAGGTTAAGGAGCTAGATCTCACATGGCTGATGGTGCGGTTTGAGTCTCAGACCTGGTGATTCTGGGAGAATGAAAAGCATGCTGGGTGCATTGTGTGTACATGCCCAAAATCCTGAGAGGAGACTGGAGAATGGACTGTGGTGTGACCATCCCCCCTGGTGGGTGATTTCTCTTTTTTCCTCTCTCTCTCCTGGAAGAGCACTCACCCTATGTCAAACATCTTAAAAATAAAAAAAGTGTTTTTTGTTTTGTTTTGTTTTGTTTTTGTCTAAATAGGTGTGTATGTTAATTTGAGACTTATGGCATCAGATCTTTCTGATGGGTCTATCAATCTAGATGCTTGTTTTATTGATATTTACTATTAGGATAACTAAGATCCACAATGACTAAACTAAGAGTAGAACTGAGGGAGTGATTTGATTTATACACAGCTCCTAATTATTCAGAAGATGTCCCAAGCTGCTCCCAGAATATCTTCTAATATGCAACAGAAATTGGCTACTAAACATGATTATATCTATTCCAAAAATATATGAGGGTACTTTTTAAAAATTTGTAGAAGTAGGGGTCTAGCATGACTTAGCGGTTACATCGCTCAACTCTCACATGACCAACCACGATTCTAGTCCCAGACTTGGTGGCTTCAAAATCACTCTGAATGCGTGTGTGTGCATACTCAAGATCTCAGGAGAAGAAGAGATTGCAGCATGGCCATAGCACTGGGGAGTGATTTCTCACTCTTCCACTCAGTGTGTCTCTCTCTCAATGACAAGTTTACACACTCTAAGGAAAAAATCTCTAAGAAAAAAAAAGTTTATAAAAGTAGTAAATAAAGTATGAGTTTACTATGCCACAAAACATTTTTTAAAACCATGCTTATTTTTTTCATATTATACATTTTCCATGAACTTTTTTTTTTTTTTTTTGGAGAGATTTTCACTGTAGGGCGCGTGCGCTCGCCAGACAGAGAGAGACATAGAGACAGAAAGCGAGAAATCACCCCCCAGGGGGTTGGTCACGCCGCAATCCCTTCTCCTCCATTCTCCTCTCAGGATCTTGGGCACGCACGCACACGCGCCCGGCGTGAGTTTTAAGCCACCGGGTCCGGGCCACGAACCGCGGTCGACTACGTGGGAGTCCAGCGATATAGCCATTATGCTAACTGCTGGTTCCCTCCATGAACTTTTTAAAGACCTTTTGTTTTCTATTGCATTTAAAACTTGAGATCTTCATTCTATATTATAATAATTGTGTTAAAGAAAAAATATATAATATTTATAAACTAAGAAAATCTGATGGTATTATGATGAAAAAATTGAAACACATAGCTTCTTGAAATTTGATATTTGACAAAATACAGCATAATGACAGAAGGGAGAACTGAAGTACACATTGAGTATCCCTTATCCAAAGTGCTTAGGACCAGAAGAGTTTTTTTATTTTTTAATTTTGGAATATTTGCATCTACATGATGAGATATATTGGGGTTGAAACCCAAGTCTAAGCATGAAATTCATTTCTGCTTCATATACACCTGATACACATAGCCTAAAGGAAATCTTATACAATATTTTTATATTGCAATCTTTTGACTGTGACCCATGACATGAGATCAGGTGTGGAATTTTCTACTGGTGAGTGTCATGTCCATACACAAAGAGATTTTGATTTTGGAGCATTTTAGATTTCTGATTGGCCAATTAAGAATGCTTAGACTGTATATAAAAATTGAAAGACAGCCCACTTCTCTCCTAACAAAAATTCCATAGGGATCCCTTTTAGAGTGTCCTGAATCTGTAGGCTATTATCCATTGTTTAATCGATCTTTTTGTTTTTTTCCCTCATCTTAGATCTCAGATTGCTGCCACCTCAAATGCACAATCAATCTTAACTCTTCCAGGTCTTCAGGACAACCTGCACCTTGAAAAGCACTCAGCCTTTTTCTTGTGGTGTCTGGCTAAAGACCAACTGGACAGTCAGTTCTGTAGTCATGATTTGTTGTTGTCAGATACAATAGCTGGGAGCAAAAAGCGCTGCTGTAGATTCCAGTACTCTGCCCATGTGGCCTGGGAAGCAGCAAAGGGCTTTCATGTATTCGGTAAATAATTCCCAGTAGAAGCATTTGGTTCCTCAGCTTCAGCAGACTCCTCATACCTCCATCATGGGCAACAGTAGCACCTATTGGTTTTAAATGGATATATCAGTCTCTGTGGCCTTTTCTGAAGTTTAACAAAGGGAAATGCTTTGATATGCTTAATAGGATGTTTCTCAGATGCAAAGTTTCCTTTCTTTCCTAGGAACACTTCATTGAGGTGATAAAGAACCAAGAATTCCTCCTGCTTCCAACTAATGAAATTTCAAAACTACTGTGCAGTGATGATATCAACGTGCCTGATGAAGAAACTATTTTCCATGCTCTAATGCACTGGGTAGGGCATGATGTGCAGAATAGGCAACGAGACCTGGCCATGCTGCTGTCTTACATCAGACTGCCCTTACTTTCACCACAGGTATGAATGGAAATTTACCGAGGTAATTAATATAAATGAGCTACTGCTGGCCTCTAATCCATCTTATTTGCCTGATTTTATTTTGTTCCGAGGATTACTGGTAATTGGAGTGTGCAGGATTTGTTTCACGGAAGGACATATCCAGCCTTCAATTAGAGATATTACTAATGGAGAAAGAGGAAACATGGATTTAAAAAAAAAAAAAAACCTACAGATAATCCCTTAACATTAGAATGCTCATTAGTTTCAGTTTCCTTTCTCACCAAATACTACTTGTAAAAAGCAAGGAAAATAACTAGGCTCTTTCTCTTTTCTTGCTCACCTTCTAGATAAGGTGTTCATAATCAGTATAGTAGCCTCCCAGAGGAGACTCTAGGAACGAAAGAGTCAGATCCTGGATAATATCTACACATGAGTAATTATCTGCTATGATTAAAAACATGCTATCATACTTTTGGATGCACTAGAGCATCATATAATGGCATCATTATCATGCATGCTGAACCAAAGGATTACAACAAAGATGGTTTTACAATAAGCACCCTTATATAAAATCCAGGCTGGGCTCACCTCACACTGAATTTTGGCAAGACTGCGGTGCAGTCCCACTACATAATTCCAGCATTGGTGATAGTCACAGTGTTTCCTCTGTAGCAAGTTAATCAATAGTAGATATAATTTATACTATATACTTGCATATATATGAATATATTACAAATATGCATTTCATTTTATTGAGGCTGTAGCTAAAGTCCTCCATATTAAACATCATCTAAATTAGAAATAGGGTGGCATGGTGGTTAAGGCAGTGGACTCCCACATGGCCAGCCATGGTTTGAGTCCCAGAACTGGTGGTTTGCTCTTTTACTTTCCCTCTTGCTCTCTAGCTGTCTCTCTCTGTTGAGTATATGTGCCCTATAGCAAATTAAATAATAATAATAATAATAATAATAAATAAAATGAATCATTCTTTAAAAAAAAAATAAGGACCTTATCTGAACTAAGCGAATCAACAGATTCACAGATATGAAAGTTAATATATTTTCAACAGTCTTACTGATTACATGTTAATATTTTAAAATAGATTGTTAATCTAATGATTTCTACACACACACACACACACACACACACACACACACACACGCACACACACACACACACACACAATTTCAATGCTAACTGTTAATTAACTTCCATGAAACTACATTATTTGTTCTTAAAAATATACATATGTGTGGGGCCAGCAGGTGGTATGGTGGTTGAGGGCTGAGGACACTGGAGTCCCACATGGCCAACCGTGGTTCAAATCCTGGACCTGGTGCCCTGCTTTCTCACTTTCCCTCTTTCTCTCTTACTCTTTCTCTCTCTGGTCAAATTAAAATAAACAAATAAGGTTAAATAAAATAATTCTTTTAAAAAAAATATACATATGTAATGAAAGAACTTGACTGTCCTGGGTATAGCAAATTTATACAAAGGACAAGGCAGCAACACACACACACACACATTTACACACGTGTCTATATGTAATCTTAGTGTCAGGCTTGTAAACCTGAGATTGATAAATGAGCTTCAAAATATATAGAAATTTTATGTTTGTGTAAATGTGTGTATACTGATGTGTGTTATTCTCAAGAGATGGTCTTTATTCTCTAAAACAGTGCCAGTCAGAATGTTCCTGGATCAGCAGAATAACATTGCCTGTAAGCTTGATAGAAACACAATTTCTCATGCCCCACACTAGACACACCAAAACAATTTCTGGGGATGAGGCCAAGGAATCTGTTTTAATGAATTCTCCAGAAAATTCTTAGAAATGCAGGTATTTGAAATGCACTGACATAAAAGATCAGACACCCTTAACTTTATACTGCCTTAAATCTATCCGACTTCAGCAAAATACTTAGTTTGAACTTCTCTTTCTCTGTTGGAAGGAGAGGAAATTTCTAGCTCAAATGCACAGCCAGCAGTACCTTGGCCTTCACCTCTGAGTACTCGTGGGGCTAGAATGTGGACTGTGTGAACTTTTCTTAATCGTGTTAGCGACGAGCAATGACATGCATAATATAGGCTTTCAAAAACAATTTTAAAATGACCTCGAGCAAGTATTTTAAAAAATGAAGTATATAACAAGGATGATAATGAATCTCTGGACAATATTTTTATTATTTATATATTTATTTATTTATTGGTGGAGATATTTTTACTATAGGGCACATGTGTTTTCCAGAGAGACAAGAGAGAAACAGAGAAACAGAAAGTGAGAAATCACCACCCAGAACGGTGACCACTTCGCAATCCCTTCTTCTCCATGCTCCTCTTTTGATCTTGGGCATGCATGCACACACGCCTGGTGTGAGTTTTAAGCTGCCAGATCCGGGACTCAAACTGCAAGCAACTATGTGGCTATGTGGGAGTCTAGTGATGTAACCATTACGCCATTTGCTGGTCCCTGAACAATATTTTTAGAAAAAAAAAAAAAAAAAGATTACTTAGCTAGATTTTCAAAACTGTTTCAAACAGTGTATGCATAAAGAAAATACCTCGGTCAAGGGGGGTCTCATCAGGAAAGTGGAAACAGTAATGCATCTGAGATTACAGGTTGGGTGAGAACAGAGATGGTGTTAACTAGAGCAGAGCAGGAAGCTTTAGAGAAGTTTATGGAGTGAGATTCGCAGTTCCATTCCAATACCTACTTAATACTCCTCTCAATTTTTTATGATACCATGAATCCAGAACTGCAAAGGACCCAATCTAATATTACCCTTGTCGACATTCCGAAGCAAACTCTTCACTTCTCTCCAATTCATCTCAGGAAAAATACTTAACCCAGCTTTAATCAGTGTCAGTTAGGGTCTTCTTTTCTGCCTGGCATTAGTAGTTAGAAAGGATTGATATCTACTTTTGCTGTTGTGTTGGCTAGTTACTTACACACGTATCTCAACCCAGTTAAAAAGTACTTGCTTTCAAGATATTCTGCCAAAGTGATCTGCTGATAAAAATGTAGTCCCCTAAAAGTGATATTATTTCCACTGGCCATGTTTGCACAACCACCACCACTATTATCACCATATATATATACATTAAAAAGGTGGCTCTAAGCCAGCAGATGACCTAGTAGTTACATCACTGGACTCCCACATGGCCTACCACGGTTCAAGTCCCAGACCCAGTGGCCTGACAGTCACGCCAGTCCCATGTGTGTGCATGCCCAAAATCCTAGGAGAAGAATGGAGGAGAAGGGATTGTCGCATAGCCATGCCCCCTGGGGGTGATTTCTTGCTTTCCGTCTCTCTGGTGAGTCCATGCACTCTATAGCAAAAATCTCTCTCTCAAAAAAAATACTACTTATAAGTGCTTTTTTACTCTCATTCCTTCAGATTACATGTGTACATAGTGAAAAGATTAATAATGTGTGAGTTAAATAAATCTGCATATATCATTAGCTACTACTATGAGGGCTTTAGTCATTTTACAAAAAAAGTGAAAAAAGGGGACCAGAAGGTAGCATAATGATTACATCACTGGACTCCCACATGGCCAACCGTGGTTTGATTCCTGGACCTGGAGGCTTGAAATTCACGTCAAGTATATTTGCATGCAAGCCCAAAATCTTGAGAGGAGAATGGAGAAGGGATTGCATCATGGCCATCCTCCATGGGGGGTGATTTCTCAATTTCTATCTCTGTCTCTTCAGCAAATGCATGTGCCCTATAGAAAATCACTCTAAAGAAAAAAAAAGTGAAAATAAATTATCTAAGTAATTTAAAATATTGAGTAATAAAACCTCTGCATTGAATTTTCTCCAATGTTATATAAACAAAACATCTGTTCTAACGTGGGCTCTTCATTCATATGCTATATATAATTATTTTTCAGTTATTGGCAGATCTTGAAAACCATTCCATGTTTACTGGTGATCTTGAGTGTCAGAAACTCCTGATGGAAGCTATGAAGTATCATCTCTTACCTGAGAGAAGATCCATGTTACAAAGCCCTCGGACAAAACCTAGAAAATCAACCGTGGGGGGACTTTATGCTGTGGGAGGCATAGATGCTATGAAAGGTAAAGGAACGAATTAGTTAATTCAGAAAGTGTTTTTTATTTTAAAAATGATTATATGTATCCTCAGTACGCTCCATATTATGAGGGTGGTATTGAAACCATCTTAAACGAGTGCAGAGTGCATCTAAAACTAATTTTCGTAAATGGGATACCTTATGTGATTCAGTGACCTTATTTTTCTTCTTACCTAATGGAACATAACCCTTTAATTAGTGAATTAGTGTTGACTAAATTCTCTCTTTTTTTTTTTTTGAAGAGGTTTTTGCTATAGGGCGCGTGCACTCACCAGTACGACACAGATAGTCAGAGACAGAAAGCGAGAAATCACCCCCCACCCCAGGGAGGATGGCCACACTGCAATCCCTTTTCCTCCATTCTCTCGGGATCTTGGGCACACACACACACACGCCCCCAGCATGAGTTTAAGCCACCAGGTCCACACCTCGAACCACAGTTGACTACGTGGGAGTCCAGCAACATAGCCATTACACCAACTGCTGGTCCCAGTGTTGACTAAACTCTTAATTCACATTTTTATTTTATAGAAGCAATTTTGAATTTAAATATTTACTTTGTGATATTAAATCTTTTCAGGGAATGTTATTTAATGTTAATCATAAAGGAAAGAGATAAAGACTTAAAAATTTGCTTTTTGACAGAGAGAGAAGAGTGGCTTATAACCCTTGCTGTCAGTTTCCTGTTCGGTACTTAGAGATCAGTTACAAAGTATCTTGAAATGTGGATAACAAGATCAGCAATTCAAACCTGCAATAAAATAATGATTTTTAGTATTTTTTCCTTTCTTTTTGTTTCTTTGTTATTTAGTTATTTTGTTATAGAGAGTGTGTACTCACCAGAAAGAGAGAGAGGAAAAGTGAGAAATCACCCCCTACGGGGAATGGCCACACCACAGTCCCTTCTCCATTCTGATCTGAGGATCTTGGACATGCACACACATGTGCCTAATATGATTCCCAAGCCACTGGGTCCAGGACTTGAAACATGGAGTCAACCATGTGGGATTCAGTGTCTCAACCTCCCTACTACCTACTGGCTCTCCTTTCCTTCCTTTTTTTTTTTTCTTTTCTCTTCTCTCTTTCTTTTTGATTTTTGACATAGGGCTCCTATGCTCTCCAGAGAGAAACAGTAAGAGGGAAAGTGAGAAATCACCCCCTGCCCCCCAGGCGATGGCAACACTGTAATCCCTTCTCCATTCTCCTTCTGGGATTTTGGGCATGCATGCACACATGCCTGGCATAATTTTCAAGTCACCCAGTCCACGATTAGAACTTTGAGAATCCATCTGCCTTAACCAACATGACACCTGTTAGCCCCCCCTTTTTTTTTTTTTTTTTAAATAAAAAGCAGTGCCCCCTCTTTTTTTTTTTTTTTTTAAATAAAGGTACCAGATGGCACATGCACTTGCCAGAGACAAACAGACAAAATAAAACAGAGAGGGAGAAAACATCTCGCAATGGGGCGTGGTCACACCACAGTCACTTTTCTTCTAATTTCTCCATCCTGGCAGGATTTGGGGCACACACACATGCACCCAGCATGTTTTTCAAACCTCCAGGGCCTAGATTTAAACTATCAGTCATGTGGGATGCAGTTACCTTTAATACTAGGTGCAGAGCCAACTATTAATAATGATTTTAAATAAGAATTTAATCAAGTGGAATAGGGAACAGTTTCTGAAGCCATTATCCCTACCCTGAACCCTTCTTAGAATTCTATTTTTCTTTACCCTTAATTTCCCAGTCTGTGAACTCATATTGCTAAAACAAGGCCAGGATTTTATACTTAAGATTTAACTGCTTAGAAAATAAAATCAACCCACTCAAAGTTAAATGTATTGGTAAATCATATATAGAAATGTCATTTGACTCCTTATAGGAAATGATATAAAGCTTTCTACTAATGTAAACCTGTTCTTTCCTTTAATATATGTGACTGGAAAATGGGAAAATAGTTCAGAAAAATGCCAATTAATAATAAGCCTATAAAATGAGATTGTAAATTCAATTATTCTCAAAGTCATAAAGTTACTTCATAGAACCAGTATTCTTCAGAAAATAACAAATACAGTGAGTATTTGGATTTGTCGAGTAGAATGAATATTAATAATATTTTAGAAAATTTCTTATTTGATATTTAAACAAAAACATACTAAATAGAAAATGTAAGCACAATTATCTTTAGTTTCTTTAAAAAAAGAAAAAACTAACCTATAATGTGAAAAATGGAAAATTTAGTATTTGTTTGGTGTTTGTTTTCTATTTTTTTCAATTTATTCAGATATATCTAAGTAATTGTTATGTCAAAGGATGTGTTATTTTAAAAAAGCGGTTATGGGACCAGCAATTGGCGTAATGGCTATGTCGCTGGACTCCTATGTAGCTGACCGCAGTTCAAGTCCTGGACCCCAGTAACTTAAACTCATGCTGAGAGCGTGTATGTATGTGTCCAAGATCCCAAGAGGAGAATGGAGAAGGGATTGTGGCATGGTCATCCTCCCTAGGGGGTGATTTCTTGCTTTCTGTCTCTGTCTCTCTCTGTCTTCAGGAGAGCACACGTGCCCTATAGCAAAAACCTCAAAAAAAAAAAGTGATTATAAGTATCAAAAATGCCTTACTGATTTCTAAAAATGAGTGAAATGTGAACCTGTAAGCTCTAAATTCTATTGGCACAGTTTGATATGGAAGGAAATGAGACAATCATTTTGAGACTTTTTGAGTTCCTAGTTTGCGGAAAACACTATAAAAGACGCTATTGGAAATTACAAACTACTCCAAGACTAGTAAAAACTACTAGTGTTAAACTGATCCTTGATTAGTTTAAAACAAGATAAATTTTATAGCTCCCACTTTGTATATCTTTTTTTTTTTTTTTTTGGAGAGGTTTTCGCTATAGGGCGCGTGCGCTCGCCAGACAGAGAGAGACATAGAGACAGAAAGCGAGAAATCACCCCCCAGGGGGGATGGTCACGCCGCAATCCCTTCTCCTCCATTCTCCTCTCGGGATCTTGGGCACGCACGCACACGCGCCCGGCGTGAGATTTAAGCCACCGGGTCCGGGACGCGAACCGCGGTTGACTACGTGGGAGTCCAGCGACATAGCCATTACGCTAACTGCTGGTTCCCCCACTTTGTATATCTTGAGGTTACATAGCCAACCTAAGGACCAACATCTAGAAAGGCTGCAAGTTGAATTCTTACTCAAATGGTATGTTCCTTTTTCCACCACTATTAACAGAAGAAAGAAAAACAAAACATCTCCTCTCTTCGGGGAGTGTGGTGGGGTGTCTTAGAATCTATTGAAAAATCAGAGCGAAGAGTTAAAAACAAGGAAAAGGGAAAAGAAAGAAAATAAAGAGAGTAATATAACAAAAACATTTGAAGGGCTAACACTTATCTGTATAAATAAATAAATTAGTACTACACTGAGAAAAAAGGTCACCATTCACAGTTTTTTCACAAAACTGCTTAAAAACTAATTTCTGTACACATGCCTCTTTTAACTGTGTTGTTCAGTTTTCTTTTTTTAAGTTACTTTTTGACCTTTTACTTTTGGATGTCTAGGAAATACAGTACTTCCTCAGTCTTTAATTTCCTCTCTGACTCATAAAATAAGCTAGAAATTTATTTTTAAATATAGATATCACACAAATAGCTGGGGATAACTTTAACTCCTACATTGTCTTTAAAAGAATCAGAAAAAAACACAGTCAAATGGTCAACTTTGGATGTCATGTACAGAAGGTAGTCAGTAAATATTTATTTATTAAAAGCAATTAATTATTTGAGACATTATAGTAAGGGATGAAGTAAAAGCTAATACAGTCTCTTTTTGAATTTTAAACATAGATGGAGGAGATTCACTAAGTCATAAATATCCACAACTGCAGGGACCAGAGTTTCCAGCAGTACCACAAGGTTCATTGGGTTTTGTTCACTCAGTAAATCAAAAATGAGAATTGAGTAGGAGCTTAGAAATGAATTGAGAAACAATATTTGGAGTGTTCTAGGGCAGAAGATTGATCTACACAGAAAACTTCTAAAGAAAAAGATCAATAAAAAATCTAAGTTATGTTTTTCTATCAAATATAGACCTTTCATTGTAAGCCAACTAAAGAACTTATATTTGATTAGTTGGGGCCTTGGTTGAAGTGACAAAGGGACTAGAGAATTCTTCAAAATTCAAGATACAGAACTGCTAATCATAAATGTTCATAGTTTCAATAAAGAGATGTGAGATACTTTTGTCACCTATATTTAGTCTAACACCTAGAAAAAAATTAACCTGCCGAAAAGCAGATGTCTACATCTTTTAGTATAAATCTCCTATATAAAATTGATTACTGTAGTTTTGTGCATTTTCTTAACTAATTACTTCACCTTTAGTAAGCTTAATAATTAGTGTAACCTAGCTTTTGTTTCCCAATGTAAATTGGCTCTTGGCTAAATCCGACTAATGAAAACAGGAGTAAAAATGTAAAATCAAAAGAGGCAGGTAGGAAGACAGATTTGGGGGGCAGGTGATGGCATAGCAGTAGTCCAGCTGGACCCAAATGGGAAAGTTCTGAGACTTCCCTGAGCACACCAGGCATGTGCACAAGGGCCTACAGTCTGGGCGGACTGAAACTAGGGATGCATTGTAGCATAAACACTCTGTTGGAGGTCCAGTAATTCAAGACAAACTTTCACGAACAGCTACAAGTCTAATACGAATTTTGCTTATTTTGACTTGCTCTGACCCACTATCATAGCCAATAGACATTGTTTCAAATATTAACTAGTTTCATCATAATTAATAGACTATATTTTCTTCAGAAATCTCCCAGTAAATGAACAGTTGGAAATATTTTCCTTTATTGTTATGGTTGGATTTTTGTGATTGAGACAAAAGTCTCTAAACCTGCCACAAGGCATATTATGTATACTATTAGGTCATTGAGAAAGTCGTGATGTATTTTTCTATTAAAAAATGCATCATGACTTTCCCAACAATATGCATGAATACTAATACTATAATTTTCCATGTTGGCTATTAGTCTGAAGTCTCCTTATTGTGCAAAATAAATTATTACTAAAATATAGCAGCATAGGCCTACTGCAGTGGCATAGCACTAACATTCTGTGATGCTAAACACCCTCATGAGAAGGTACTGGGTGCGTGTCTTGAGCACACATTTGCTGTACACACATACATGTGCCAGAGATCTGGGCTGGCTGAGGCTAAGAATGGACCATGGCATGAAAACTTTATTGAGGGTATCTTTCTCCCTCTTCTCTCTCAAGAAATAAACTTTAAAAAATTAAAAATACAAGATAGTAGCTATTATAAATAAATAATAAGAAGCATTGCCTATTTAAGTGACAATTTATTAATAGGAGTGATAATTTACTATGTTATAGTGACAGACTATGGCAGTAAATTCGGTATTTCAATAGAGTAGAAAATGAAATTTTATTAACACATCAAAGAAGTAATATCTTAGAATTCTATACTCTTAATTATAATCCTTCGTATTGCTATCATGGAACATTATGTGAATCAACACCAAAGGCCATTTGAAAGGCAATTTCTAACCTAGCCATGGTAGTATGGCACTTGTTGACATTGCTACTTAACAGGTTGAGACCCAGATTCAATTCCTACCCCATCCTAAGAAGCTGGGTCCAGTGGTACATGTCTGTAGTTCCAGCTGTTCAGGAGGCTAAGACAAAACAATTGCAACATGGTGAGACCCCTTAAAAAAATAAATAAAAGAAATAAGTAAAAGAAAATTTTATTCCTGGTTATTTAGTCATTTGTCTTTTAAATCAGCACACACATATACACATACATCCCAAAGTACAAAAAATAAAAGCGCTTGAACTAACATACTGCATGGTCATAAGTAATTAGAACTGTCATGTATGTGGAACCATCCAATTAATATCTTCCAAGATATGTTTTGTTGTAAAATATAACACCTCTGTTAGTACTACCAGTTAGCATAATGCAGCCAAATGAGGCTTGATAAGATTATAAACCATGTACATGAAATAATCTATTTTATTCTAATGATTGCATTTGGATTTATCTCCTAGGTTGTGAAACCATCTGGGCTACTTACTTTGAGTTGCAAACACTGATACTTTGCTGTAAATTATGAGTACATCAGTATAATGTGAATCATGTCAATTCAAAATTTTAATACAAGTGTTTTTTTCATTATTCAATATTCCTGTAACAGGTACCACTACAATTGAAAAATATGACCTTAGAACCAACAGTTGGGTACATGTTGGCACCATGAGTGGCCGTAGGCTTCAGTTTGGAGTAGCAGTTATTGATAATAAGCTCTATGTTGTGGGAGGAAGAGATGGTTTAAAAACTTTGAATACTGTGGAATGTTTTAATCCAATTGGCAAAATCTGGACTGTGATGCCTCCCATGTCAACACATCGACATGGCTTAGGTAAGAGTTTAATGTTACATAGTTTCTCGGGAATGTGTAGTTAGGAGAGATTTTTTAAAAATTAAATTAAGCTGCGCATTATTGAATCTTAGCCAAAATCTTATTCAGAATGTCCACAAAATACAATAAAGCTTAAACCAATAGTAAAAACTCGTAAACATTTTTTTCTGGTTGCAGATGTCATACATTTTATTTAAATTAAATATTTTTTATTTTTACAGCTGGCAACATGATTTTCCCAGCATGCATGCAGTGCATGTCAATCAAGTAAAAGATATTACCATATATATCATCATCAACAGATAATTTTCCATTTCTGTGTCTGTTAAATCCTATTTTTTCTAAGCCCCTTCCTCCCTACTCCCACTATCCATCCTCTCTCATATGGTCTCTGGTATCTACACTCGCCCCCCTTGCTCTTATGCCTTCTACTCTTTCAGTTTCTGCTGTAGAGTACAGACATTCAGTATATACTGAGCAGGGACATAACAATGACTCTGTTTCATAGTCTGGCTTGCTTCATTTAACATTAAATCTTCTATATTCATCTACTTTATATAAATGATGAGATCTCATTGCTTTTTTATACCTGAGTAGTATTCCATAGTGTATATGTGCAACATTTTTTCAATATAGTCATCTATTCTTGGACATTTGGACTGATCACACATCTTAGCAATTGTGAATAATGCTGCAATAAACATGGATATGCAAGTGTCTTTCCAAATGAGTGTTTTCCTGTCTTTTGGGTAAATATCTAGAAGTGACATTACTACATCTTATGGTAGTTGTATTTGTAGTTTTTTAAGGAACCTCCTTATTGTTCTTCACAGTGCCTGTACTAATTTACATTCCCACCAACAGAATAGGATGGTTAATTATTTACATCCTCACCAACATTTGTCATTCTTTGTTTTTTTTTTTTTAATCATAGTCATTCTGACTGGATTTAAGCTGTATCTCTCTGTGGTTTTGATATGCATTTCCCTTTGATATGCATGATAAGGGATGTTGAGTATTTTTTCATGTGTTTTTTGGCTATTCTTGTTTCCCTTGGACAGTTGTTTGTTCAGCTCATTTGCCACTTTTTTAATAGGATTTTTTTTTCTTCAAGTAAGCTGCTTGAGTTCCCTGTATATCCTAGTATCAGTACCTTATCTGAAGCATAGTTGGCAAATATTTTCTCTCATTCTGAGGATTGTCTCTTCACTGTAATTATTGTTTCCTTTGCTGTGCAGAAACTTTTTAGCCTGATACTGTCCTGCTTGTCTATTTTGGGGAATATTGCCTGTGCTTTAGAGGTTTTATTTGAGAAATATTTGCCTATTACAGTGACTTCAAGAGTTTCTCCTGTGTTTTCCACCAGTAGTTTCATAGTTTGAGATTTTGCATTTAGATTTTTGATCCATTTTGAGTTGATTTTTGTTAATGGTAAGAGATAGTTTATAGTTTTATTTTTGTGGATATCCATTTCTTCCAGCACCATTTGTTGTCATACTTTTTTAGTCCTTCCCCTTTTGCACCAATATTTTAAAAGAGCTCCACTTTTGGAAGGATAACAACTTTTAGAATGGGCATATATATATATATTTTTTTTTTGAGAGGTTTTCGCTATAGGGCGCGTGTTGTATTTGTAGTTTTTTAAGGAACCTCCTTATTGTTCTTCACAGTGCCTGTACTAATTTACATTCCCACCAACAGCATAGGAGGGTTAATTATTTACATCCTCACCAACATTTGTCATTCTTTGTTTTTTTTTTTTTAATCATAGTCATTCTGACTGGATTTAAGCTGTATCTCTCTGTGGTTTTGATATGCATTTCCCTTTGATATGCATGATAAGGGATGTTGAGTATTTTTTCATGTGTTTTTTGGCTATTCTTGTTTCCCTTGGACAGTTGTTTGTTCAGCTCATTTGCCACTTTTTTAATAGGATTTTTTTTTCTTCAAGTAAGCTGCTTGAGTTCCCTGTATATCCTAGTATCAGTACCTTATCTGAAGCATAGTTGGCAAATATTTTCTCTCATTCTGAGGATTGTCTCTTCACTGTAATTATTGTTTCCTTTGCTGTGCAGAAACTTTTTAGCCTGATACTGTCCTGCTTGTCTATTTTGGGGAATATTGCCTGTGCTTTAGAGGTTTTATTTGAGAAATATTTGCCTATTACAGTGACTTCAAGAGTTTCTCCTGTGTTTTCCACCAGTAGTTTCATAGTTTGAGATTTTGCATTTAGATTTTTGATCCATTTTGAGTTGATTTTTGTTAATGGTAAGAGATAGTTTATAGTTTTATTTTTGTGGATATCCATTTCTTCCAGCACCATTTGTTGTCATACTTTTTTAGTCCTTCCCCTTTTGCACCAATATTTTAAAAGAGCTCCACTTTTGGAAGGATAACAACTTTTAGAATGGGCATATATATATATTTTTTTTTTTGAGAGGTTTTCGCTATAGGGCGCGTGCGCTCGCCAGACAGACAGAGAGAGACAGAGAGACAGAAAGCGAGAAATCACCCCCCAGTGGGGATGGCCATGCCATCTCCTCCATTCTCCTCTCGGGATCTTGGGCACGCACGCACACGTGCCCGGCGTGAGCTTTAAGCCACCGGGTCTGGGACGTGAACTGCGGTCGACTACGTGGGAGTCCAGTGACATAGCTATTACACTAACTGTTGGTTCCCTAGAATGGGTATATATTGAACAACATAAAACTACAGGATGTTTTCCTCTAAGCACTATTAAGAGAAGAGAGCATTTACTGGTGGAAAGGCATTGTGGTTCTAGTTAGATGAATCATATTCCTTCCCACAAAAAGGAAATCTGCATTTCAGCAAAAGACTTAGAATGTATGTCCAAGGCAGAGATATTTAGGAAGACCAAAGATGAAGTAAAGACTTCTGAATACTTGGGAACTTTGTCTCTATTGAATACAAGGAGATTTGAAAAAGTTCATGGAAGACTGGAATTAAATTATGAATTTACTTTGGTGGAAAATAATTTTGAAATTCATGCATACTTTTTATCATAACATAATAAAGTTCCACGAACTTTTAGAAGACCTCTCATATTTGTCAGGATACCCTTTTGTTTATGTTCGACTCCATGGTTTTTTTTTTTTTTGGAGAGATTTTTGCTGTAGGGCACGTGCGCTCGCCAGACAGACAGAGAGAGACATAGAGACAGAAAGCGAGAAATCACCCCCCAGGGGGGATGGTCATGCTGCAATCCCTTCTCCTCCATTCTCCTCTCGGGATCTTGGGCACGCACGCACACGCGCCCGGCGTCAGTTTTAAGCCACCGGGTCCAGGACGCGAACCACGATTGACTATGTGGGAGTCCAGCGACATAGCCATTACGCTAACTGCTGGTTCCCTTCGACTCCATGTTTTCAACATCACAGAGTTTGTAGAAAAACTGATCTTTTCTTTTTTTTTTTTTTTAGAATTGACATTCACGCAGCTAAAAAATGGCAGATCCAGGAGTGATGTTGTTTGCTGCCAATTATTCTGATAAATTTTCACTACCAAATGATACACTATAGAATTATTTAGCTCAGTTATGTCAAGGTAATTCCTAGACATAGCTCAGGAAGCATGTCTTACAGAGAAATCAGAATAAGCGTTTTTCAGTCTAATTGATACTAGTGAAGAAGTTGGAGAAATGATGAGGATATACCACTGAGAGGCTGATTGAGATGGTGAGAAGGTGGAGGAAAAAGCCAATTATGTAAACTCCCAGAGCAGATAAAAATAGAAAGGGGCTATTCTTAGTATATAATACAGCAAACTTTTAACTTTTAAAACTTTTAAAAGTCCTGTCTAGTTAGTAATCACATGGGACTCTTTTTACCGCTATAATCAAAAGCAGGGGATAAAGACCTACCATAATCAACCTAAAATTTTAAGATTTATCTAAGATTCATTATCATATCTACCCATTACATTTAAAAATGTCATTGAAATTATGTCAGAAAGGGCCAGCTCTGAGCCTTGTGGCTAAGAGAAGTCAAATTCCACATAGCAGACCATGGTTCATTCAAGTGTCAGTCATGGTGGCTTAAAAACCATGCTGGAGGGACCAGCAGTTAGCGTAATGGCTATGTCGCTGGACTCCCATGTAGTCGACCGTGGTTCGCGTCCTGGACCTGGTGGCTTAAAACTCACGCCGGGTGCGTGTGCGTGTGTGCCCAAGATCCCAAGAGGAGAATGGAGGAGAAGGGATTGCGGCGTGGCCATCACCCCTGGGGGGTGATTTCTCGCTTTCTGTCTCTCTGTCTCTCTCTGTCTGTCTGGCGAGCGCATGTGCCCTATAGCGAAAACCTCTCCCCCCACCAAAAAAAAAACAAAAACAAAAACAAACCATGCTGGGCACATGTGCATTCATGCCCCAAATCCACTAAAACAAGGGAGAAATGGAGGAGAAGGAATTGAAACATGACCATACTCCATTAGGGGATGCTTTCTCTCTCTCTCTCTATCTCTGTTTCTGTTTTTCTCTGAGGAATGGGCAATCCTCTGGCAACTTAAAAAGAGAAAGAAATTATACCAGAAAAAAAGAAGCAGCCCCTCTTTTATGTTTCATACTTACACATGATGAATTCCACTACCTTACTTGACTTCAGTGTTAAAACAATGATACCCTTTCATTATAATAGTAACTATGACTGAAAGTTTCCTTAGATTAGAAGACCATATTTAGCTTTATATCATGATCAGTAAATTACTCATATGTATTCAAAACCATTTAAGAAAAAAAATTAAGCAATCAATTGCTCGCAAAATGAAAGAGAAAAACATGGCATAGCTAGCTGAACCCTTACATTATTTTTTTCTTTAGGTGTAGCCACACTTGAAGGACCAATGTATGCTGTAGGCGGTCATGATGGATGGAGTTATTTAAACACTGTAGAAAGATGGGACCCAGAGGGACGCCAGTGGAATTATGTGGCCAGCATGTCAACTCCAAGAAGCACAGTTGGTGTTGTTGCATTAAACAACAAGTGAGTAAGTCCAAATACACATGGTTTTTGATCCCAGGTCATGTGGTACAGAAATTCAGTGATGTGATCCATCTAACAACCATTTCAAATGACCAAGACATTTTTGTTATAATAATGAAGGGTCTTTATTGGAACTCTCCTTTCATTATGACAGAAAATATTTGTCAAAAATAAACATTCGATTAAATATTCTACAGCCCCTTACTAATCAGTATGTGGTCCTGGGACCAGCTGGACCGTCATTTCTTGAAATCTATTTAGAAATGCTGAATCCTATCTCTACTTCAGAATTTCTGAATCAGAATCTGTATTTCACCATTATCCTAAGGTGAATTATATGCACATTAAATTTGAGAAGCACTTTTGTAGGAAAACGAGTTTCATCTGTACCCTCAAGAAGCTACCACTGTTTAAATTATGATTATTTTTTTTCACTTATCACAACTATAGTCTGTGTTTTTAACAAGGTGAATCTTTTTATTTCCCCAGCAAGTATCTCTCCTGAATGTTTAGGGTTCTCAACTATAGAATCTTACCTAGTCTTACCCTCCCTAAATATTTACCTCTTCCTGATCACTTGCCTATCTATGAAAGCAAGCAAATATACTAAAACTTGATGATGTTAGAGGTTTCCATGAGCTTCTAATTGCATGCTTTCTGACATGGGATATTTAGAGACAATGACCAGCATATAGCAAGGGCTTAAATAATGAGAATTTCAAACAGTAAAATGAGTGAGTGGCAGAAGACAGCCTTGCTTTTCTATACTGACTACACATAAAGCCAATACCTCATCGCAGAAATGAGCTCAGTGTAAGTTTCACCACAGATGAATTTAGCACCTTATAAGAAGAAATAGTAAATGTCTATAGTTAAAAGAAGAACCAGATTTAGTATTTTAGAACTTTAAGTACTCCTATATCTGAGTATCTCTGTCTTGATATAAATATCAAGTGAATCATAGTGTAATCCCCTACCTGTAAAAAGAATAGGCAGAAATCATCAAATATGAATCATTTAATTTTGTCATAGTGAATTGTTGTCACAACTCATCATGAAAAACAGTATATTCACATGGTTTAATTAAATATTTATCTCCTTTATTAGTCAAGGATTAAATTTAAATTAGATTAAAAAATACTGGTGCCAGCAGGTGGCTAGGTGGTTGGGGTGTTGGATTTGCACATGACTAACTTTGGTTCAAGTCCTGGATCTAACGGCTGGCTTTCTCACTTTGTCTCTGTGTCTCTCCTTTCTCTCTCTCTCTCTCTCTCTCTCTCTGGTGAATGCACATGCTCTTAGAAAACTTAAAAGAAAAGTAATAAGAATAATACATAAAAGAAAATAAATAATTTTTAAAAATACTACTCAATGAAAAAATTGGCATTTTAAAGTTTGTGGGAGAAATGCTGAGGTACATCCAGTTTCTAGATTATATTTTATTCCTTTAGTTGTTACATCACTATATTTTTAGTGATAAATGCTTTCATACTAAATAATATCGTCAGTAACAATCACATGAATTCTGATGCTAGACAGTTGGACTTAGAAAAAATGTAAGGTTGTTAGAGTCGGACTTTGAAGTCATCCTGCCAAACTTTTGATGTCCCCCTTGTTTTTCTGTACATCATGTCCCATGGGACCTTTTAATCCGTTATGTCAAAAATGATGAAGGAATGAGGTTTGGGGTGGGGTACACCTTAATAGGTGCCCTCAGATAACTGTCCATTCATAAAGTCAGGCTATCTGCTACAAAATACTGAGGATTACAGTACATGCTCAAAAATATCAGAAACTTGAAATGTTTTATTCAAGAGTCTCTCATTCTTGTTCTGTGCATATACTTTGTGTGTATATAACACACAATCGTATATTTTTCTTCTAGATTATATGCTATTGGTGGCCGTGATGGAAGTTCCTGCCTCAAATCAATGGAATACTTTGACCCACATACTAACAAGTGGAGTATGTGTGCTTCCATGTCCAAAAGACGTGGAGGTGTGGGAGTTGCAACATATAATGGATTCTTATATGTTGTAGGAGGCCACGACGCCCCTGCTTCTAACCTTTGTTCTAGGCTTTCTGACTGCGTGGAACGGTAAATTATTTTTATGTATGTATGTATATGATTATTTAGTGATTTATTTTCCCAGGAATGAGAATGATTTTTAACCTAATAGAAAGTAGTCCTCCAAGTAAGTATTAATCTTTTCAATAATAATAACAATAATGTATATGGTAATATCTTTGTCTTGAGTGACATGCACTGTATTCATGCTGGGAAAAGCCATGTTGTACTCTGTGAAGATGTACAGTGATTAAATGTAAACAATAATTAATAAAATGACAAAAACATAATAATAGGAAAAATTCTATAAATTTCCAAAAGTATTTATATCTTTTAGAAAAAAGATATAAACTCAATTCCTATCTTCTGATGTAGAAAATTTTATGGCAAAAACTATAAAAGTAAATATTTAAAAACATATCCTATAATGACATATTGAACCTTACTTGCTAACATAATTAAATTCCCAATATTACTGAGTTTTTAAATACACATACTCTTAAAAATAAAAAAATGGTAAGCCAGCTGCTGACATGGAGGTTAAAGTGGTTAGATCCCACATGTCTGACTGAACAGTTCAAGTCCTGGACCTGGCAACTTGAAAAACAAACTTAGCAAGTGTGCATGCATGCCCAAAATTCCAAAAGGAGAGAGAAATGGAGAAGAGATTGTGACATATGACCGTTTCCCATGAGGTGGTGCTTTCTTACTTTTTTTTTTCTCTCTCTCTCTTGCTAGTTCATGCACCCTTTGGCAAAAATTTAAAAACTAAATTAAGTAAATAAAAAACTGGTAAAAGAGAGAACTTCACAAAAAAAAAGTGTAGCATAGTAATTAAAAGCATTGAATTAGGTATCAGATGAATCTGAGCTCAAATCTCAGGTCTACTATTTACTAGTTATATGACCTTGACTCAGCTGCTTTATATATCTAAACACCACTTTCCCCTTGTATAATGTGAGAATAATAGTATCAAACCTTATAGGCTACAGGATAAAAATTTTCAAGGCACTTCACACATTGCTTGCTATATTAAATACTCAGTAGAAGGCAGTTATTGGTATTGTTTCTGTTGGTATTATTTTTGTAATCAATTTATTACTTCCTTATTTTAATTTCCTTAAAAAGATCTTGTGAAAATGACTAGGGCCAAAGTATGATGTTCAGTAATTTAAAATCATGACATTTATACAAATATAAAATGAACATATATCAGGACCAGCAGTTAGCGTAATGGCTATATCGCTGGACTCCCACGTAGTCGACCGTGGTTCAAGTCCCATACCCGGTGGCTTAAAACTCACGCCGGGCACCTGTGCGTGCGTGCCCAAGATCCCGAGAGGAGAATGGAGGAGAAGGGATTGCAGCGTGGCCATCCCCCCTGGGGGGTGATTTCTCACTTTCTATCTCTGTCTCTCTCTGTCTGTCTGGTGAGCGCACGCGCCCTACAGCAAAAACTTTTCAAAAAAAAAAAGAACATATATCGGATAATTTATTTGATTAAGCTATAAACAAAATAGCCCTAAGACATTAAAACCAATTCAAAAGAGTATTTGAAAAAAGAAATTTAGATAATTAGAAGTGTGGTTAAAAATTTTAATAGATGCAAAACTAATTAATGTCATATAGGGTAACATTTTTACATAGTGAAAATAAATTCTATCTTTATCATGTAAAATTTGTATTGTTATGGCAAAAAATAAATCATAAGAAAACTAAGTTTCTACCTCTTAACTTTTACAATGCAGGGTTGTAAAATATCCTTGTCAGTAGAAAGTCAAATGTTCACTCTCTATGGAATCAGATAATCCTCATTTCCACGTCTTGGGCAATTTACTCTACGCTATTTTCTGCTAGTGCACTCTTGACTACCCAATACCTTAGGAGTCTTTTACCCAATTATTTAAGATGATCATTTAAATTAAAGGTTTCTAAGACCAACACACTGGTAGGGTCAGGAATTATTATTTATGTAACATTAATGAGAAAATTGAGACAAAGAAGTCTAGTAAGTTACTCCTAATTACTCTTTTTTTAAGAATTATTTTTTATTTAACTTTATTTATGTATTTATGTATTTAATTTGACCAAAGAAGGACAGTGTGTGTGTGTGTGTGTGTGTGTGTGTGTTTTCCATGAACTTTGCTAACTCTTTGAAGATGTTGAAGATTTCCTCACGATAGTTGCTTTGGATGCCCATCCATGATCAGTGCTCTCGTTCCTATCAGCTATCAGCCATAAGGGAGTCCAGCACCGTTAACCACCATGCCACCTGCTGGCCCCACTCCTAATTATTCTTAAGTTGGAGAATAGGAATAAGTCCATGACTAATTCTCTTGATTTCATACCCAATTCTATTTCCACCACAAAATATACATTTACATCCAAAGTAAGAAGTAAGAGGAGAGGGAGTGACCAGCAGGTGGCATGGTGGTTAAGGTGCTGGACACTCTCACATGACTGACCATGGTTCAAGTACTAGACCTGGCGGCTTGCGCTCTCTCTCTCTCTCTCTCTCTCTCTCTCATCAAATTAAAATAAATGAATGAATAAATAAAATTAAATAAATAATTCTTTTAAAAAAAGCGGGGGGGGGGCAGCATTTAGCGTAATGGTTATGTCACTGGACTCCCACGTAGTCGACCGAAATTCGAGTCCCGGACCTGGTGGCTTAAAACTCATGCCAGGCACGTGTGCATGCGTACCCAAGATCCCAAGAGGAGAATGGAGGAAAAGGGATTGCGGCGTGGCCATCCCCCCTGGGGGGTTATTTCTCGCTTTCTGTCTCTCTGTCTCTCTCTGTCTGGTGAGTGCACTCGCCCTATGGCAAAAACTTCTCTCAAAAAAGGGGGGGGTGTGGGAGGGAAAAGCAAATGAGAAACAAAGAGAGAGGAACAATGCTATTTTAACTTGAATGTGATATAAGAGCTAGCTTTTCCTTTAATCTGTGTCTTTACAAATGATAATCATATTGCCAACTTTTTCCTGATTCAGCATTCCCTAAACTCTTCTTATGATCAAACAACATCCAGATGATATTAACATTAGCCAACTTTTGAGCATTAACCAACATTCAACATTCACATGCATAACATTCTTGGATCTTTGAATAGAAATCTGGAAGCAAATCCTTCTGAGTTCTGGTTCATCATTCACATATGTGTGTACTCTGACTATTAGCTGAGTACTGCACAATTAACAATAGCTATTATTTTTGAAGATTCTATTTAGCTAGAGCATACAGCTTTTCTAGTTCTGTGTTTTACTTCATATTATAGAATTAGCATTTAGATTATCTTCATTATTTCTAATTTCTGATAGTATTAAAATATTCCTGGAGGGACCAGTAGGTGGCATGGTGGTTAAGGCACTGGACTCCCACATGACTGACTGTGGTTCAAGTCCCAGACTAGGTAGCATGAAAATCATGCTAGATATGTGTACATGCATGAACAAAATCCTAAGAGGAGAATGTAGGAGAAGGAATTGTGGCATGACCATCTTCCCTGGGGGGGTGACTTCTCATTTTTCCTCTCTCTGGCGAGCACACGAGCCCATGAGCCCTACAGCCAAAACCAAAAGCAATAAAACTCCTTGCATTTGAACTTGAGAACTGAGATCAGATGATTTAGAATATGATTAAAAGGATAAAAACAGAAACCAGAGGGGGGAAAAGAAATATAAATAAATAGAAGGTGATAAGTGAAAATCTTTGTAAAATAATCTTTTCTTGATTGAGCTTTTGTAAATCGGCCAATATAAAATCAGAGAGCATTTCCATGTATATGAGTGACCTTATTGTTCATCCCTTTTCTATTTTAGTGTTATAGTTTTTTTTTTCTTAAAAAACAAAACAGGCTTCAAAGTTTAAGAAAGAATTTCTGTAAAAGATTTAAGTAATATTACTTATCAAATTCTCTTTTACTCTGCTTAGTGAAAAGGTTTGGGAATATGAAGTTAATTTCAGACTAAAATAGAAAAAAAAATTCTATGCTTCAGTGGGGATGAGAACTTTAAGAAGGAAAAAAGACAGGCTAAGACTATAGTCATTCTAACTGCAAGTAGTATTAAAACCAGGGTACTATCCCATAAAGGAAAACTAAAACAAAAAGCAACTATATTTAGGTTTACTTTAAAATGTGAGCTCTCAAATAAACAAGATCAGGCATCTCATGCATAGCTTCGATGAAAAAGTGTAAAAGAAGAACAAAAGCTGTCTAATGAGAATACTAAACGAGAGAAGAGGCAGTTTTCATATAATCTGCAGATCCCAATATGCAATACTTCTTCAAAGAGAATCTGAGTACTGATTAAAGAAATGGCTGGTATCTCAGACAGGAAATAGTTTTTGATATGCTTTGAGAGACCTCTGGTGGCTGAAGAGAATTTTGTCATATAGATATCTTTGACATTTATTAGCTAATCTATATTTAATGTTTATAATGTGTTTTCAATACTGTATTTTAGATCTGTATACATTGTAGTCATGCCCATTATTTTCAATTTTAACAATGTTGAACTTCTCCCCTTACCTGTCTTCCTAAACTTCTTGAGGTATGATCCAAAAAATGATTCCTGGTCAACTGTGGCACCTCTGAATGTTCCTCGAGATGCTGTTGCTGTGTGCCCCCTCGGAGACAAACTCTACGTAGTTGGAGGATATGATGGGCATAGTTATTTGAACACCGTAGAGTCATATGATTCACAGAAAAATGAATGGAAAGAGGTATGCTTATAAAAATATTCAAACTAGTATATTTGCAGCTTTAATAAAAGATTTTAAAAAGTATTTTGGGAATTTCATTCTCTTTCTCTCTAGTGCCTAAGCAGATTTTTTTCTAAGTGAAATCTATAGTATGTGCTTTTGGGTTTTTGTTTGTTTGTTTGTTTTTGGTTTTGGTTTTTTTTTTTGAAGAAGAAGTTTTTGCTAGCTATAGGGCACATGCGCTCACCAGAAGAAGAAGAAGATTTTGCTATAGGGCACATGCGCTCACCAGACGGACAGAGAGAGGCAGAGAGACAGAAAGCGAGAAATCACCCCCCAGGGGGGATGGTCACGCCGCAATCCCTTCTCCTCCATTCTCCTCTTGGAATCTTGGGCACGCACACACACACGCCTGGCGTGAGTTTTAAGCCACCAGGTCCAGGATGTGAACCACGGTCGCTTACATGGGAAGTCCAGTGACATAGCCACTACGCTAACTGCTGGTCCCCTAGTATGTGTTTTATTAATACCTTAGAGAATGAGTTGGTGATTGTTAAAAGGACCCATTATCTTTATTTCCTGAAAGCTTCCCTTCACAGACAAGAAAGAAATCAGATTCATTAATTCAAGAGCTTTACCCTGACCAATCTTGCGGGTCTTATGACTTGAGAACCAAAGAGCAATGTCCGCTTTCACAAATGTCTGTCCTTTTTTTTTTTTTTTTTGGAGGGGTTTTTGCTATAGGGGGCGGGCCCCC